AAACTTAAATGATTTATATTTGGCTTAAAAACATTGGTTTGAGTAAACATCAACGCAATTTGTACCTGTTTTATTGGGGTAACAAAAAATATAGTTTCTATTCGAATGTACTGTTGGTACTGTGCCAAAAACATAGTGGATGAAAGAAACAGAAGGAGCAAAAGGAATGGGAGCAGTTTGGATGAGATGACAAGTACCGTCGGTTGTGATACTTGGCAAAACCGGTAAAAGGTTTTGATACGTGCATGAAAATTTTTTTTTTATTTTTACTTTTCTCTAACCCTTTCCCCTACCCCTCTTCAATTTCAGATTCAATTTCAGTTTCAATTTTTTTTAATTTCACTCCACTTGCAATTTTTATCACTTTAATTATTTTGCCAAACGCGAAAAAACTCACAATAGCTTAAGCATTTGACTAGTCGCTATTCATAATCCTGTCTAGTTTAGCTCCTTAATGATTTCAATTAAAGATGACTTGAAATTGGACTAAGCTGAAATTTGTGCAAAAAAAAAAACAAGTAAACAACAAAAAAAAACCAATTATTGCTAGAAAATTTTGATATTGAGAAGGTAAAAAAACTTGGGCTTTTGAATATTTTTTTAACGGGGACTGAAGTGAATGGACTGCAGTGTAGATGGTTACGGCGTACAGTATCGACCACTTCGATTGGGTAAATATGGGAGATATCGGATGAGTGGGTCGATAAATGGATATAGGTGGATAGATGAATGATTGGGTAAATGATGGTGATCGTTGGTGGTAAAGTATATGTGCACATGTCTTTGTGTTGTGTGTATGTATCGGAGTATCGAAGAAGTAAATGACCATCAGTTGCTTGCCTATTGAAACAAGCAAAGTAAACAAATTTTGCGGTTTCGTCGTCAATTCAAGATTAACTTCTGTTTACCGAATAGCACTTTTCAGTTTTGTCTATCGCCTACTTTGATAAAGAAAAAAAACGAAGGAAAAAAACTCGAAAATCTTAATTACAGAAGTGAAACTGAAACCACCCTCTTCTCCTCGTCTCGTAAACGATAAATTTAATTGTAACAGATTTTATTTTGAGTAAGAAACAGGCGATGACTATGTAATAAAAGTGTGTTCACCTTAATATTATCGAAAGACAATATGTTGTTGTTTACTCACATAACAGTGAAGCAACAAATTTCTTAAGTTAACAAACACTTCAAAAGAAAAAAAACGTCACTGAATTAAACGGTTATGCTACCGAAATTTTACCAGATTTACAATGCTGTTGTTTTTAAAATAACCTGATGATGAAAGCATAGAATAAGAAGCAGATTGCTTACCTGTTACTAATATACCTCCTATTTTGATTTTTTTCTATAATCAGTGCATTTTTTGTTCTACTTTATTATATCTTTTTCGATGCTTTTTTTAAAAGGTTGGCTGCCAAAACAGTTAACTTTGTCGCATTAAGTAGATGAATTTTTTTTGTTCCGCTTTTTGTTCTCTTTCTTCCTCTTCATATTTAGGGCATTCAAATCCAGTCATGTTTTTAACACACTGGTTAGAGTATCTTTAACTGTATGAAGCAGTAGAGCGGCAGCATTATGTTAAAGAAAACGTATAAAAAGTTATCGTGAAAAGTTTTCGGTAATTAGGATGATCCTTTGGAAACAGCGGCTAAGAAAACGTCTTTATTCTTTTGAATTCTGTAAAAATTTACAGTATTAGTTGATTGAAAAAAACATATTTTTTTTCTCACTTTTTGTCATTGGTCTGTCGTCGTCGCTTACCGCTTGCTACTAGCGCTGGTGCTAGTGCTGATTCTATTGCTATCGCTATTGCTGTTGCTATTGATGTTGCTAGTGATGGCGGCTGAAGTGACTAGTCCAAAAATGAGGCGGTAGTATTGGTTGAATGGACGACTGTATATTCTTGAAAAGCAAAACTGGTCCAAAACACATAAAATAGTAAACTTTTAGTTTTTTTTTAGCACAAACATTGGCTTTTGTTATTCAGGAATCGCAAAACAGAAACGTATTTTTACGACAAAAGGAACGTTTTGGCTTTCCTTAATTCTTTCTTGTCATCATCATCATCTGGTTGATCACTGCGTTTCCAATACGCGCCACCAACAGTATCAGCCTGTTTCCTGTTCACAGACAGCAGCCGTAGCAGCAGTTGGAAGTAGTACCGCACTCAGTTTCTTTCTCTTCCCTCCGCCATTCATTAGTCGGATGCAGAGACACCCCAGAAAATACTGCTTGACTATCCTGCTTAATCACTAGCCAATTCCTATTTTCTTTCCTCATAATTTTGGTTACTTTTAAAAGAGGTGAAAAAAGAAGTAGAAGAAACAAATTATACTGAATTAGCATAGAATCTTGTATTTTTGTTTCTCGTTAGAATCAAAGTTCTGTATTCTGTTCTACTTACAGCAGAAGAGGTGTAATCGGTTAATAATGTCTTTGACCTGGTAAGCTGTCGCACTATTTTTCCATATTTATATACCTTTTATAGCGATAAATGTTTAAGTTTTTTCTATTGGTGGAAGATTCATTTTTTCCAGTTTCTATGCACTTTCAAACAAGACGTTATTGACCTCTTTGACTTTTCCGAAGCTTTTTTGTGTTTGTCGTACGAAATGTGAAACTAAGTGACCAAATTTAAGTTTTTTTCGTACAAACGTTTATATTTTCCAACCAGTCATTCATTCATTCATTCATTTGTAAACCATCTTTTCTGGTCGTTCTCTCTTCGTATATCTGTTCAGCTATCAGTTTGTGGAGGACTGTTCAAAACTCCTTTGTGCCTTTATTTTCCTTATTTTTTTTTTTTAAATTTCAATTACTATGAAACTCTGGCGTATTTTTCTTTTGCGCTGTTAGGCTTTTTGCTCATAACTTTCAAAATGCAGCTTCTGTTCATTTCCATAATTTGAATCCTGTAAAAAATGTCAGAAATTTGTTTGGGAACACCTTTTGGTTTGTTTTCGGAGCAACGACTTTTAAATTTTTATTGATCATCTTGATTAGAGACTTCTTGTCTTTTCATCACGACCTACCGAAGTAGTTAGGATACTAATACTACAAAAATATGAAGGAATTCTGAAGAACAACGGTTTTGTAAAAGTTTTTGTTAAAGTTTTTTGCTACTAATACAATTAACTAGTCATTGACGAATTGACATATCGTTCTTAGTGATGAATTTCTTCCAGATTCACACCGAAAATTAACTGATTCTGACAAGGTATGTAAAAAAACTTTTATTTAGAAAAGTTTTAGCGGTTTTTAGTCAATTTTTAGTTCTCTTTTTTCCTCTTCCGTTCTGCTGCTAAATACTCGATAGCTGTTTCATAGCACACAAAATTGTTCACAAAATGAGTTTTTACTTTGACAATATCCACCACTTAGCCATTCATTGAGAAATTAACACAAAAAATGGTCACTTAATTGTATAGTTTGATACCGTGAAACCTAGGTGAATTATTATATATTGGTGGTAAAAAAGACAAAAAAAATTGCAGTGTGGGTAATTTGGTGACATGTGGCTTGAGATGATAGTGATGGCTAGGCAAGTAATAGGTACTTGGAGACAGTTAGATGACGATGACGGTGATGGTAGTGATGAAGACGATGGTAGTGTGGCGGTAACGACGACAACGGTGTTGTTGTAGGTGATGATTGAAAACCGTTCAATTGAC